CTGTCACTGTATTGTTGTATTCTGGATCATATCTGATGGCTCCTCTAGTACAAACTCCATGAGCAACCTTTACTGCTACATTGAAGAGTAACAGGATGAAAAAGAGAAGAAAGTGCCTGGATCTTGAACTTATGTTCTTCATTGAACTTTACTGTAATAGATTACTATATACAACTAACTTCTACATAAGGTGGCTATGGATACCTGGTTTTGTTGTTATAGTATACTAGTGGGTGTACCAAGAGCACCGCCAGTACATTATAATACATGTTGTGGCATAATGTTTGCATTATGGTGTTTGTATGTCTATGTGTGCATTCAATATCTGTTTATGTAGCCAGACCAAGAACTTTCGTGGGTGCAGCACAAACTTAATTTATTCCTTGTATTAGCAATGCATTATAATGGCAATAAAAATTATAAAATAGTTGATGGAATATAAAATGATTATGAATATTTTCACGATGAAGTTAATTCCTTTGTAACTTGTCATAGTTACCAGTTTCTTCCTCAGTTTCAGCCAGTGAATAAACTGGATCATTATTAACAGTCATTATATTCACATCAACAGGACTCTCATAATCATTAGCATCAGGAACTGCAGGGTCCCTCCCATTGGAAAACGGCTCAAATTGATTTTGCGACAGATCAGAATAAATCCCAATATTCTGAGTCTGACCTCTTGACTGATGGTAAACAGTGGATGTTACATTTACATTATCACTTTGTAATGATGACCTTTATTAGTTATACCATAATATGAGATAAAGTATTTGATTGTACCTTTTGTTGGGTTTAAATTGTTTGTCTTTACTTTTCCTTATAATAACAATTTTGATAATCAATAATAAGATAATAACAAACACTGCACTGATAATGATACCAATAAGTATTCCACCAATCCATGGGATAGCTCCATTTGATGATGATGATGCTACAGTAGCAGTAGCTGCAATAAAATACACAATAATGAGACCATTAATTTTATGCTCTTTAAGTTACCAGTAGGAGTAAATGATAATGTAAAAGAAGTGCTAGAGCCAGCTTCTTGAAATCCTGCAAATAAGAATATATTTTAAATTAAAATTACAAAGCTGACCTTTTGTTACATTAATGCATGTTGATTGAGTCTCCATATAAGGGAATACAGCAGACACACAGCATGTGTACACAGTATTGGCTAATAAACCAACCAGTGATGCACTGTTGTTCTTTGTCAGTATGCTTAGTTCACTTTTGAACTTTATGTGTGGTTGGGAATAAACAATCATGTTTTTACAGTAAAGACTGAAATTGGACATATCACTGTTTCTATCAGTGTATTCCCAATGTAATATAATATCTGATTGTTTACTATCAACAGTAAGATTTGAAGGAGGACCAGGCAAGTCTATAAATAAGGTAATTAATAATAACACAATCTATAACTTTACTTTCACATATAACACCAGCAACAGTGCCACTACTACAGGAGTATAAGCGATAATCTGAACAGTTATAAAGAAACTTTTCATTTCCATTACATTCAAAGTTAGCTTGTAACACTGAAATATTGGTAGGTACTGAAACATTAACTGGCATAGCTCCTATAGAATTACATCATTTAAAAACATTAGTAATGAAGTGGGCATACCTTGTGTATTCTTTCCTAATTGTCTACATACAACTTGTGCTTGAGTAGAGGACCATGCTGTACTACATAATGTATGCCACTCTCCATTTACACACAGCAATACAGCATTAGTATCAAGTAATTGTATCTGTCCATTTTGACAGACTGAGGTATTGATACAATTACTAGCAGCAGTATAGTAGTTGCTGGAACATGTCAGAACAGGCCGATAGTGATAGCTATAAACTTGGTACGAACAATCTAAAATACTCTGCTGTGGAATTGGTTTATTTGAGCAATGAAGCCATCCTATAAAACGAGGTGTAGGAGCAGGGATTAGATCTATTCTTATCCGAGTGTGACCTACATGATGACATATCACAACAAATAATCAACTTAAACATAGTCTATACCAGTATCAGAGTGTCTAGAATATCCCATCTGTTGGCAGATTACATTAGCTATTCTTCGCCTGACTCCTCCATTACTGTTTGCACAGATATATCCCCATCTATTAGCAATACAAATCTGTACAACTGTATTGTTGTATGCTGGATCATATCTGATGGCTCCTCTAGTACATGCTCCTTCAGCAAATTCAACTGCCACTACAGCTATGCTAACACAAACTAGGAAGTGGGCCAAGTGGCACTTCTTGAACAACATTTTGAAATGTACCAAAGCTTACAGCTTTCTAGGAAGTTGCTGTACCATGCTTATATGTATGCACCAGGCCACCACCAGCTATCATCACCACGCCCATTGAGCAGTCACATGTGTATAAAATGTACAATAATGGTAATAACACTGAAATACACTTTAACATTAAAAACTAATGCCACAGTTAATTCCTTTGTAACTTGTCATAGTTACCAATTTCTTCCTCAGTTTCAGCCAGTGAATAAACTGGATCATCATTAACAGTAATTCTATTTACATCAACAGGACTCTCATAATCATTAGCAGCAGGAATTGCAGGATCCCTCCTATTAGAAAAAGGCTCAAAATGATTCTGCGACAGTTCAGAATAAACTCCAATTACATTTTGACCATTATCATTTTGTATTGATGACCTTTAAAAGTAATACTATTATACTGTTATAAATAAAATAAAGTAGTTGATTACCTATTGTTGGGTTTTAATTGTTTGTTTTTACTTTTTCTTGTAATGACAATTTTGACAATCAACAATAAGATAATAACAAACACTGTACTGATAATAATACCAATGAATATTCCACCAATCCATGAGATAGCTCCATTTGATGATGATGGTGTGGCACTAGCTAAATATAGAATAATTTTAAAGTTAAAATAATAAAAGCTAACCTTTTGATACATTAATGCATGTTGATTCAGTCTCCATATAAGGGAATACAGCAGACACACAGCATGTGTACACAGTATTGGCTAATAAACCAATGAGTGTTGCACTGTTGTTCTTTGTCAGTAAGCTTAGTTCAGTTTTAATAATCAAGTGCAGTTGAGGATCAACAGTCACATTATGTTTACAGTAAACACTGAAATTGGACACACCATTAGCATCATCAGTGTATTCCCAATGTAACATAATATCTGACTGTTGGCTACTGATAGTAAGATTTGAAGGAGGACCAGGCAAATCTATGAATAGAATAATTATTAATAATAATTATAATCAAACTTTACCTTGACACATAACGCCAGCTACAGTAGAATTTTCACAAATGTTTGAGTACGATGGCCGGCTGTCTGAATCTGAACAGTTGAAAAGAAACTTTTCATTTCCATGACATTCAAAATTAGCTGGTAATACTGAATAATTGGCCGGCACTGGGGCTGTGATAGCTCCTAAGATTATTATACACATATCATCAATATAAGTATATGTAGTTCAGTAATATATACCTATTGCATTCTTTCCTAGTTGTCTACATACAACTTGTGCTTGAGTATAGGACCATGTTGTACTACATAATGCATGCCACTCTCCATTTACACACAGCAATACAGCATTAGTATCAAGTAATTGTATTTGTCCATTTTGACAGACTGAGGTATTGATGCAATTGCTAGCAGCAATATAGTAGTTGTTGTTCAGGTTGTAGTTTGCGGAACAAACGGGATCAGAATAAGCTGACTCATAAACTTCATGTGAACAATCTAAAATGTTTTGCTGTGGAATTGGTTTATCTGAGCAATGAAGCCATCTTATAAAACCAGGTTTAGGAGCAGGATTTATTTTAATCTGAGTGACACCATGGATACCTATCGTGTGGTATATCATAACATGAAATGAATCAACTTATCATCAGTACAAACCAGTATTAAAGTGTCTAGAATATCCCATCTGCTGACAGATTACATTAGCTATTCTTTGCCTGTCTCTTTCATCACTGTTTGCACAGATATATCCCCATCTATTATTAAAACAAATCTGTACAACTGTACTGTTGTATTCTGGATCATATCTGATGGCTCCCTTAGTACATGTTCCTTCAGCAAATCTAACTGCTACACAAAATACGCTAACAAAGACCAGGTAGTTGAACATCATAAAAATTTACTGAGTCTGTTATAGCCAAGTCTGTTTGTGCAAACATAACATGCTGCAAATGCATGCAAAATAGAATCACCACACCCATTTTGGGCGGTCACGTGTATAATAAAATGGAGGCTCCTAAGGAGGTTAGGAATGATTTGTATCCAATATCTGGTGTTCCTGTACGCTTTCCATGCAAACCCTATCCCACTCAACTCCAGATGATGTCTAAAGTAAATTAACATTAACTTTTAAATACAGTGTAAAGCTAATGGGTAGGAAAGGGAAAAAATTGTAATTTTTAACCCTTTTCATTTGTTGGTAATGTTATGTCCAGAGTAAATAATGGGGAGTTATGTTCATCTTTCCTTT